CAAAGGGCCAGTGTCCAACGTTGTCTCCTTTGCTTGTGTCTATCTGCTTGAACAAGTCGAGAGCTCAGTCAACAGTGGAATCAACGCCTGGCTGAATAGCTGCTTTCATGCCAGCTTTGTCTATCTCAGTCAACGCCGGTCTTACATATATCTTACCTCACAGACATCACAACTATGTAAATCTTCTACCCTCGCCAAATCATGGAACCTGTAACTATAAAGATGTCAGTAATGGCAGGTGCATGTCTCGCACGTCTACTTCACGTTTTCGTCGGGCAAAAAGAACGATTTGCTCAAGCAACTGTCCCAGAGAGACTTGAACTCTCGATCTTCCGATGAGAGATATAACAGTCGGACGCCGTAACCAACTAAGCCATGGGACATTACACAAGTGCTTCTTCCTGGTGTGTATCTGGCTCGGGACCCTTCAATTCTCCCAGGTGCGCCAAAATGATGCAAAAAGGTTGCCTTATCGATTCCGAAGTTCTCTGTCAATGTTTCTGGCAATTACAAAGCGAAGCATTAGTTTCTGGATACTGTCGCTATCCGACGCGTCCCTTCATGACAGGTGCTCTGGGGTCCGTACTTCCCTCATTGATCGGATGATGTTTCTCGGCCACCAATACTCAGGTTCTTCCGCGTAGTTGATACGCATGGTACAAGCAAAAGATTCTTGACCTTATCCCCTTAGACATTCTGACAAACGAAAGTTGTCTATGAGCCTGAAAGGCTTAAGCTTCCTGATGCCAAAATCGATACATCAAAGTAGTTCAGTCACTTTCCTGCAGAAAGCATCGTTGCGCCGGGGAAGGATGATTCTTTCTCTGTGGATGAGAAGTATTGGAAATCGCCGAGTGCTTTACTGCCTGTTTAAAACGTTTACGGAACCTCCTCAACGTATGGGTAATGTTGGATCCGGGTGAATCTATGAGTTTCAGACCGGATGTATTTCACACTAACTTGATGTATGATACTTGACCGTGCCTCTCGTGTCTTTGGCAAGATGTCAACGAGTGAGTCACTTACTTTGCTTCTAGCCAAACCTAGAATGAATTGGCGCCGCTCAGGAGGAAGAGAATGAACGAGGGATGCATTTCGGATGTGACCTCTTCATCTAGCAACCACGTCTCAAGATAAGAAGAGTTCGCACGACAGGACCTTGTCACGCAAACCTAGGTCCAACTCACACCTTAAAAATCTTCTAATACTTACAGATTATCTGAAGACATAAATCTCTATGATCACCCATCTTATTTGCGTACTATTGTACTTGCTACTATCCTGTCCGCGGGGCTTCGGAAACAGAGAAACACCTCGTGGATAACCCCCAGTGGCGGAAGCGACTACGGCTCACGGACCTAATGTCTACCTCTGGATATTGTGTGTAATCTTGTTTGGCATACGTTGAGTCGTGCCTGGAACAAGAAGTCTTATACGAATTGAGGATAGCACGACAGACGTGTTATCGCGTGGATCGACCAGAACTATATTTCTCAACGGCATATATCAGATGATTAGTACTTTCGATTTTCTACTTGTGCCATTCTGTTGGTATCGCTCGCTGGGGACACTGTCCTTCAGTTCTCATTGTGGTTTCTTCCGTCAGACCTTGCAGTGTATCATGGATGTTGAACAGTATGTATTACCTTCGTGCGCCGCTGTGTTTCCTTATTGATACGTTCCACAGGTTCAGAGAGGCTGGTCACCGAGCTATTGATCGTATTTGTGACTATTACTATTCTTTAGAAGAGAGACCTGTTGTCTCTGAGGTTGAGCCAGGATATTTGAAGCAACACATTCCTCGTGAGGGTTAGTGTGGTAGCTGAATTACTAGCCAGACTGATGCGCGCGTTTTAAAGCGACTGCTCCAGATGAAGGCGAGGATTTCGATAATATTGCGGATGACTATCAGAGACTCATAGTCCCTGGTATTAGTTGTATTTATCAGCAACCGATATGCTTGTTCACAAACTATTCTCAGGGTTGACTCATTGGCAGCATCCTTCATTCTTCGCATATTTTCCAGTTGGCTTCAGCTTTGAAGGGATTCTTGCAGATCTTTATTCCACGGCAACTTCTAATCCAGGATTCAACGTGAGTCACTCCTTCTTAACTGCTATTTCTCTCGTCGAATGATTACTTCCCAAGTGGAATGCAAGTCCTGCATGTACAGAGTTAGAAGCACTCGTCATGGACTGGGCTTGCCGATTGTTAGGGCTGAGCTCAGAATTTCTGAACTCTTCAGAGGTTGGAGGGGGCGCTATCCAGGTATACTCTATCTTATCAGACCCGTATCGTTATGTCATCCTCTTTAGACCACTGCTTCTGAATCTGCATTAATTGCTATCGTTGCAGCGCGTTCATTGTATCGACGCAGTCATCCAGACATCCCTCCGACTAGGCTCGTTATATACACGACCTCCCAAACTCATTCTTTGGGTGTCAAGGCTGGCCTTGTTCTTGATCTTTCCGTTCGCGTTCTCGAAGTCAAAGCCGAAGACAATTTCTCTCTACGCGGCGAAACACTGCAATTCGCCTTGGAAGAGGATGAAAGGCGAGGGATGAAGCCACTCGTCCTAAGTAAGTCCTTTTTGATTGTTTGAAAACGTGGTTTACATAGGCAACACAAGTTGCGACTGTAGGGACGACTTCGTCTGGCGCTATAGACAATCTTCCAGAAATACAGCGGATTGGTATTATTCTTGATTTCTTAGGCATGGTCCAGGTTCTAATTTGTTCAACAAGTTCAGACACATCCGTCATTATGGATTCACGTAGATGCCGCATGGGCTGGTGTAGCCCTCGCGTGCCCAGAGTACAGAGAAAAGTGTCATCTTAAAACGATCAACGAAATTGCAAACTCTTTCTGCACGAACTTCCACAAAGTCAGTATGGTTTTTCAATTTCATTAGATGCTCGTTTATCCAAGAAATGCATCAGTGGGGCCTTACCAATCTTGATGCCTCTACTTTATGGGTAAGAAACCGAAAGCATTTGACTGACGCCATGGAGGTCACTCCTCCCTACTTGAGAACCACACAAGGTATTGCCGGTTGGTATCTTCAACCATGATTCAAAGCGCAAATGAAGCTAACTGTGTCTAGGAACAGTCATTGATTACCGTAATTGGCATCTGGGTCTTAGTCGTCGTTTCCGGTCTCTGAAGCTCTGGTTTGTGTTTCGCAGTTTTGGTGTTCAGGGTTTCAGGAGCTACATCCGCAAGGTCGTCATCCTTGATTTGCTCGTGGTGCGGCCTGACTGACAACTTGTTCTGAATTAGACTATATCTCTGAATCGGATATTTTATGAATTTGTGATCGATTCAGACATATTGTCTCTCGTCACTCCTCCTTCATTCGCTCTCTCAGTCTTCCGATTGGACCCCAAACCTAAATTCCCTGAGCATTCCTCCCATTCCCTAGAAACTTTGAACAATATGAACAAATTGTTCTTTCAGCGGCTCTCCGCTCGACATGATATTCTGCTAACCCAGACGGTGCTCAATGGTGTTGCTTGTATACGATTTGCAGTCGGGTCTGCCAGAACAGAGAGAAAGTGTAGATTCCACAACCAAGATTATAACATATGAAATGCAAATCCTCGATACACATTTCCATAAAGAATAATTTAATTTTGTTCTTAGATACCGGCACCTCCAGTGCACTCCAAAGTGTGTCCAGAAACATACGAAGCAAGCGGTGAGGCCAAGCTAAGAATTACAAAATCAGGCACGAATTTTAGGATATAAACAAGAGACATACAACAACACAGACGAAGCGGCCTCATCGGGCGATCCACCCCTCCTGAGAGGGATGTTGGGGTAGGCTCCGGTTGCGGGCTTGGCCGGGCCCTTAGCGCCAGGGACACCGAGTGCGACCTTCTTGCCGTCGATCTCAATTGTGGCGCCTCCTTCCTTGGCGGCAGTCAAGCTGTTCAGCAAAACGCGTTAGTTTCCTCGTTCCGAAAGGAAAGAGCGGAAAGACAGACCGAGTGTGAACGAGACCGAAGGCGATGGTGTTGGCGCGGACACCGAATGGACCCCATTCCTTCGCGATGGTCTTGGTCATGCCAATGACGGCAGACTTGGCGGCAGCGTAGTTGGTCTGGCCAACATTGCCGTGGAGACCAGTGGTGGAGGAGACGTTGACGATGGAGCGGTTTTCGGGCTTGTCCGACTGATTGGATTTGAAGCCTTAGTATTGACATGGAGAAAGTCGGAAGTGGACATTACCTTGATGCGGAAGTAGGGAGCAGCCTCACGGATGAGACGGAAGGGAGCGCGGACGTGGATTTTGATGATGACGTCGAAAACATCGTCGGGGGTGGTGTGGAGCATCTTGTCGTATGTGAAACCGGCTGTTCCATTGGTCAGTTTTACGTAGGTCGCGCGCATGAATAATACCGACCATTGTTGATGATGTGGTTAATCTTTCCATATGCCCTGTAAAATGGTTCATCACTGAGCTAAACATTTGAAGTTGAGAATTTTTACGCACTTCACGGTCGCGTCGACAACCTTCTTGGGGAAGTCATCCGCGCCGACATCACCCGCAACACCGATGGCATCACCACCGGCGGCTTTAATCTCCTCGACGACAGCGGCGAGCTTCGTCGCATCGATACTAGATAAGTTGACCACATGTAAGTACGTTTCTGGTATGAAACGAATGGAGATCGCAACGTACTCGCTGACAACGACTTTAGCTCCTTCCTTGGCGAAGAGAAGAGCAGCGCTCCTGCCGATTCCCTGTTATAGAGAAGGTCGTACAGTTGGTTTGTGTTCATAGAGATTGTCACGGAGGTCATACCTGTCCAGCACCTGTAGTTCACGTAGATGAGTTCCAAATTGTTGTGTGCTCTATATTATCGGAATACTCACCAGTGATGATAGCTACCTCGCCAGCGAGAAGGCCGCGTCCATAGGTGTTGGTGACGTGTCCGGAAACCTGTGCGAGTCTGCTAGCCATTTCGTATGTCGTGAATGTGAAGAGTGTGGAATGAGGACTCGGAAGAGATTGTACGAGAATATTTATTCCGGAGTCCGGGTATTGTCGGTTGCCGGAGTTTGTGGAAGTGCAGGGCCGAATGTAAATCAAACGACATCCACATCGTGATATTTTCCGCCTATTTTTTCATACTCATTTATGTAGGGCCAACAGGACCGACTGACAATGTATTGTATGACGCGGTTCATGCATACAGTACATATAAAAATCTGGAAGGTAACCAGACATACCGCGACGATTATTGGCAGTCGGACGGGCCGATGGAAAATGATGGTTCCAATTTATTTTTATCTCCTCCACTACCCCACAATCCTTCAGCGCTCAGCTTCCTTGGGGATCCTACTTACCCCGCAATGAGCCACAATGCTCATGGCGCT